TCAGTCCCTATCGCTCAAGTGCTCGGCCACTGGTCTACCCCTACCGCAGATCGTGTGGACAGTCGACGGGCAGCCGATGTCCGACAACTGGCGCCTCCGTATTGGGGACTACGTGTCCAGCGATGGTGTAGTCAACTCATACGTCAACATCTCTAACGTCCGGGTAGAGGACGGCGGACTGTGAGTGTAGAGGCGTTTACGGCCCGCAGAATGTGTGGCACACTCTGTATATTAACAATTGATATATTATTTCAATACAGGTATAAGTGTCTGGCGCTGAACGGCATGAACACAGCCGTACACCACAACCGTGTGGTAGTGTTGGGCCCGGTATTCGTGCGGCCCTTTGCCCACAACATTACCGCAGTGGCCGGTCATGGGGTACGGGTTGACTGCCCGGCCAATGGCCATCCCATTCAGTCCATTCAGTGGTTTATCGGCTCCGGTAGTAACCAATGGACAAAACTGCCCCAAAATCACCGGCAGAGAGCCCTAACCAACGGCACACTTATCATCGAGTCGATAGAGTCGCATACAGACGAGCGCTGGTATAGGTGTGTAGTGAACGGGTCGTCAGGGGGTGCAGGGGGTGTGGGGTCCACAGCTCACGGCAATGTCTATATAGAGGTGTTGGTGGCCCCAGTAATCAACCCCTTTCACGCCTCCCCTAACCTCCGGGAAGGTATGCGACAAATGTTGACGTGTGTTGTAGTCGACGGTGACGCCCCTCTTAGCATACAGTTCCTTAAAGATGATGTGCCCGTCCGTCCGACCCCTCCCGGTGTCGGTCATAACGCCGACGGCGGACACGAAGTGAAGGTTACGGCAAACGACGCCTTTTCAAAGTCCGTATTCATATCCAACGTGACGGCCGACGACTCCGGTAACTACACGTGCGTTGCGTCCAATAGAGTGGCCAACACTTCATACTCCACGTATTTGAATGTTCAAGGTAGTGTGTCGTGATTTTCTATATGTTTATGTTTGTGGTGTGATTACACCATGTGCGTATTCAAGCTGTAATTTTAAATAATATGCTATTTTTTAATAGTTGAATATTTTAATAGAGATATTTATTGGATGGGTTCATAATCATAGAATATAATGTTTATTAGTATGTTTATTACTTTTTTACGTAAATGTTTAAGATATGATTTATGTATGATCGCTAAAATTAGCATGTATAATTTTTAAAAATAAATATTTAAGTGAAATACCCTATATTATTAAGATATTAATATTAACTATTTAAAAAATTGGTAGTTTAAATTAAACAAGATTATTTTATACATTTTATTATATTTATAATAAATTAAATAGGTAATAACAGCCAATTATTCTATTACGTCAAAAAATAGGCAAAACAAATAAATAGCAATAAATTTGATTATTAATAAAATGTTTGATACATTATTATATAGAATATATATTAAAACAATTATTACCTGATATATTATCTAATGTATAAAGAACTCAAAAATAACACATTAAGCTAACTTATTTCAATTAATTTTAACCATAAAGTGCCGCCTAAATGGGTGATTAGTCCGATGGACACGGAGTCCATTGTCGACCAGAAAGTGGTCATGAATTGTGTGGCCAGCGGTCAGAGTAGGGTCTGGTGGGAGCGATCGGAACTGGCCGACGGACATTTGCGCACGGTCATTTCAAATTCACATATGCACACGCTGGAAAATGGCAGTTTGACCATCAATGATGTTACCCCGGATGACGAGGGTGTCTACCTGTGTCAGGCCAATAATGGCGTGGGCAGTGGCCTTAGCAAATTGGTCCAGCTCAAAGTGCACGGTATATACACTTTTTGAATTATTTATAAAATCAAACTGTAATGTTTAATGATATAGTATGATTTATTAATTCATTATTTTACCTATATATAATACTGGAAAGTGGTAAACCCAATGTTGCATAACTATAAAATTTATATTAATTTTAATTGAGGATTTTAAATTCTATTGATGATCTTGATATAAAGTTAAAAATTAATTGTCGTCTGCTTTTAATAATGACATATAAATAAAATAATTAATTGTAAATTACGTATACTGCAAAAATTAATTAATGACGCTGTAATTGTACAAGTGTATTAATTGCTATTTAATTTTAAAATATGGTGGCGTTAAATTTTATTTACAGTAAAACTTGTAACTTTAAATAATAAGACAAGTAGCATTAAATAAGTTAGTCATACATAAATAAATTTGGAAAATTTAATAGAAATTTTAGATTAGCTAAATAAAATTTTGCAACATATAGATTTAAAATACATTCAATTAACGCTAATTAATCAATTATTATACTTATATAAAATTATATTTATATGAATATTGGTTATTAATCAAATATCAGTCATATTGAATTTGAATTAAGTATTTTAAAATAATAATGTTAATTTGTAAATCAAAAATTTATTCTCAATCTTATTTAACAAGATGATATTAAATTTTTATTACAATTAAAACTGTAAAAATAAATAAATCTAAATTGATGCACTATTTAAGTACGCAACATATTTTACATAAGGGGTAGCAAGCAATGAGTTTAATTAATTTTTATTATGCTCTATTTAGTTTAACATTTATTTAAACAATCATCATCAGTAATTACAATTGAAACTGTAAAAATAAATAAATCTAACATGATGCACTAGTTAAGTAAGCAACATATTTTATATAATGGGTCCTCATAAACACTGTGTTTAATTAATTTTTATTATGCTTAACACTAGTTTAACATTTATTTAAACAATCATCATCAGTAATTTACTGAATAAAATTAAACAATATTAATATTCAACATTATAATTTATCACTCCATAATTATTTTACACCCATTCCGGGCCCATACAGTTGGGGCCCATTTTAAAAGCAAATTTGGTTCGCAAACCGTCTCCAAAGGACAGGACGTGTGGATTGAGTGCCTATCATATGGCGAGCGGCCGATAGCCGTCGCCCTAACCAGAGATGGCCAGCCGTTTGACGCCGGCGTCGAAAACCGGTATCAAGTGATCCGTAACGAGACGTCAGGTGTGGACGCCGTTTGGCTGAGGATACATATACTCGACACTACCCGTCGGGACAGCGCTCTCTACACCTGTATTGCCAGTAATAAATATGGTCGTGATGAGTTTAATCATCAGCTAATTGTGCAGGGTAAGTGTTTATTGTATATAGTGCTAATTAATAAGCTAGGTGGATTAGTACTATAAATTGATATAATAAATTTAATTGAATTCTTATAGTTATTAATAATTTAAACATGATATAAAACAATTATTTGAAATGAATTAAGTGATCATCCTGCCACCGCCATAATATTTTATTCAATAAGTTAAGACATAATAAAGTAACTATTAATGATTTAAATTACAGTTTATATTATAGTAAGTTTACGTAATATTTTTAAAATAAATATTTTTTGGTTTATATAATAAGAATAACGAATATTTTACTATCTAAATATTTTCTGATATAAGTTTACTAAAGTGTATTCATTTTATAAAAATTTTTTAATTAAATATAATTGTTAATTATCATAAAATTTGTTTCGTGAACAAGCTAAAATTTAAGGCAAAAAAAGTTGCACACCCCTTTTGCAATACTTATAATATAGTAGGCATTTGTTAACCGACCTTTTTACTTTTATTTACTACGAGCGCAATGATTGGTATAATTTATACCGTATAAAAATGTGCATAATTTTAGTAGTTTCAAATAGTAGATTAATGAACAAAAACTAATTTATCTCATATATTTAACGGATAATTTAACCATACTCAAACCTATTCAAACAATCGTACGATATAACAGATATATGTTGTTAACATTGCAGCTTATTTTGTTATGATTTACCAAGAATTTTACAGTAAAAATATTACGGATTTTTCAAATATTATTACGTACTCTATATTGAATTTTTTTATTAGTAATTATATTGTTAATTACATGCATAAGTGAAAATAAATAGGGCTATTAGTTAGCAATTTATAAGTAAAATGTAATTATTTGTTACATAAACACAATAATATGTCGTAAAATAATTTATGGAAAACATGGTAATTATATACATGTAAATTAATTGTTTGTATTGTTGCCATTATAAATACAGAGGCGCCGGATATACCGGAAAACGTGATGGTAAACGAGATCACTAGTCGTACGGCCCTATTGTCATGGCTGGAGCCGTACGCCGGCAACGCTATTATCATTAAATATCGGTTGGAAATGAAACAATCGCTGAACGGTTGGCAATCCTCCCCTCAATCCTCCCCTCCCGGCGATAACACAGTGGAGTCAATACCGGGAACCGACACCTCATATACCATACGTGGCCTCAAACCGGTCAC